TTTCCCTCTCCCCCTTCTCTGAAGAAGTGTGCTTGCACACAAAAGCTTATACCTGGAATAAAACATTGTTGGTCTTCTTCAAACTCTCCCTCTCTGGCTCTTTCCTTCCCCCTCCCCACCCAGTGGAGGAGGGGGAGGAGCCCTCAGCCAATCAAGGGAATGGAGGCGTGGCTTTCTCTCCCCTGCAAAGCAGGAAATAGGAGAGAATGGGCAAAAGGAGTTGCGATGCAGGAAACAGGAAGCAGCAGAGAGCCAGTTGTTTGTGGGCCGGATAGCAGCTCTGCAAGGGCTGGATCCAGCCTCCTTAGTTAACCTGCTTATATATGCTAGTGCTAACTAGTTAGCATGTAATCAGTTTGCTATCATGCTGTCAGGATCCACAGCAAGACAATGAAGTACACACTTCCAAGAAGGTTTTACTGTTATTGAAAAGCCATCGATGCAGTAACATGAACACTGTTAGGAATGGCGGGTTACCAATACAAGAACTCGTGGGCACTCCATGAAACTGCAGAGCGGTCGGGTTAGAATGGATAAAAGGAAGTACTTCTTCACCCAAAGAGTGATTAACACATGGAATTCACTGCCACAGGAAGTGGTGGCGGCTACAAGCATGGACGGCTTCAAAAGGGAATTAGATAAGCATATAGAGCAGAGGTCCATCAGTGGCTATTAGCCACAGGGTATAGATAGGGACTCTGGGGCAAGTGATGCTCTGTCATCTTGGTGCTTGGGGGGGGTCAACAGTGGGAGGGCTTCTAATGTCCTGGCCCCACTGGTGGACCTCCTGATGGCACTGGTATTTCTGGCCACTGTGTGACACAGAGTGTTGGACTGGATGGGCCTTTGGCCTGATCCAACATTGGCGTCTCTTATGTTCTTATGTTCTTATGCGCATAATAGGATATAGGGCATTCGTATGCGCCCCCCCAGCTCTACCCAATTAGATGGACTCCCGCACACGGGCATTTGGCTTATTCTCTAACGGCCGCAAATCTGGGAACGAAAGAAGCTCCCACGAAAGCTAGACACCACCAACCTCTCCAGTAACCTTGACAGATAAGCGTTACAGCTTTGAAGCAATTAAGTGCATGGGAAGGAATGCACAGCAATTAGAAACACACACCACACTCATGGCAGCTTCAGCTGACACATGCAAGGTCTTCCCACTGAGGAAGAGGAGGTGTCATTCATAATGAGGCTAGTTTGTCAATGACCATTGGCTGATCAGTAATTCAGGATAAGGTGCATGTTTGTTGTCATGTGTACAAGAAGGTGGGGGCTTTGGGGGAACTTCCTTTCCTTTGTTCTCGCTTTCTCACTCACCACAACAGTATGAACTAACTTGGAAACAAGATGGAGCTTAGATAGTTAGAGTGTCTTTGTTATTTTTCTTCCAAATATTACCCTACGCTTTATCTTTCTACTAAAGTTTTCTATAAGCTAAACACACGGATTCTGGCTGCTTTATTTTTCCACTGCACGTTATGTCAGACTCTGCTACATTTTCCCAACAGAAACTGGGTCTCCCACCAGGCCTAGTCCAACATTAATATATTATTAAAACGTCAGGCAACCAAACTCCTCTTCAGTGACTAAAAATCTGTTTCCACACAGTCAAACTTACATATTGTATTTCAAAATGATTTGCTGAAATTTATTGTTCAGGACAGTTTATAATTTTCCTCCCAATTGCTCCTTCACATACAGGTTATGCTATTTAAAAATGTCCTTCAAAATAAATGTTTAGGTACTGGTATTGTCCTTGTATTAATTAATTTTAAACACTTATTTAGGTGTGCACGAGTAGTGACTCTATGCTGGTATGGCCTGCAATAGTTTTGAATGTGGGAAAGAGACAAAGTGTTGGTTTGCAATATAACTGCTTACATATATTTCTCCTACAGGTAACAGAATGCTGAATGATGCATAACATCAAAGAAATGGATTCCCAGAAAATTCCTGCCCCCCCAGGCTCACTAGAAGATCAGCCAATTCAACTCTCTTGCCTTCAAGCCATACCAGCGGCATCCAGTTTCTCACTGAGTCCAGTAATTCTCCAGCCAGAACAGGCACTTTCTCAGACAATATACCTGAAAGCGCTTACTATTCCACTTTATCAGCCTATCCAGTCAGAATGCCTTCAGCCAAACAGCCAGCTGCCCTCTGGCCAAGCCAGTTTCAACCTGAAGAACAGTAACATGCCTTTAATCCTAAGCCCACTTGTACATTCGGAGGGAACCGACCAGCTTCATTCAGCCCCTCAGAAGCCCCCTCAGACAATAAACATAGTTAGTGGTTTACCAGTTTTGCCAAAAAACTATTCTCCCTGTGCACCACTTGGAAGCCCAGGGAAATCCCCCAAAAGTGCCGGGAAGTACCTGTGTAAACACTGTGGGCGTGATTGCCTGAAGCCAAGCGTTCTGGAGAAACATATGCGCTCACACACAGGGGAGAGGCCTTTCCCGTGTACCACATGTGGAGTTGCGTTTAAAACTCAGAGCAATCTGTATAAGCACAGGAGAACCCAAACGCACGTCAACAATGCAAGGCCGCCCTCAGAGTCTGACAGCAGTAGCCTGTTAGAGGAGGGTGAGAAGGAGGCCGAGAATGTCAGATCCCCTCAGAGGACAAAAAACAGTGATAGGAGTGGTGACTATCCAAGGGCAGTTATTAAACAAGCCATGTCAGAGTCTACTGCTGCGATAGCCAGTGAGAAGCATCCACTCACTACTTCATTGCCAGTGGTGAATGCTTTAACCCTTGTATCTGAAGGACAGAGTGTGACAAGTGACAACTCCTGTCACGGAGGGGTGAATCAGAACGTCCTTGAAAAAGAGACCATGAAAGATCTAGCCAATCTCCTGCAGAGAAGGAAGATCCAGGACCAAAGGTCTCCAATGGTCAGTCAACACTCTCAGTTGCAGAGGCAGCAGGCCACATACCCAGAGAGGCTATGGGATAGCAAGTCTCCAGACTACAAACTGAAGAAATGCGAGAGCACCGACTCAGGGTATCTGTCACGCTCAGATAGTGTGGAACAGCAGATGATGTCCCCCAGCCCCCTACACAGTCTTTGCGAGCACAGCACAGAGTCAGATGGCGATACCGCCATGAGTGATCTCAGGTGCACTGCAGCAGATCATTCGAAAGCAGATCCGGCCGAGAAAGCAACTGGAAACTTGGCGCTGGAGAAGAAGAAGCTGGAGGAGCACATTGCTAAACTAATCTCGCAGAATAAAGCGGTGGTGGACGACACCCAACTGGACAATGTGAGGCCCAGGAAAACGGTCCTGTCCAAGCAAGGGAGCATCGACTTGCCAATGCCTTACACATATAAAGACTCGTTCCATTTTGACATACGATCTCTTGATGTTAACAGGAGAAAGAACCTCTCGCTTTGCTCGGCCAAGTCTACCTTCACGCCTGTAGAAAAAGTCAAACCATTGTTTTTTCATTCAGTCCCCACTCAGTTCTCCACCACCATAGACTGTGTCCCTGTCACCAGGAGTAACTCTTTGCCTTTTGTTGAGAGCACAAGGAGAATTCAGGACCGAGGGGATAGTTCACCATTCTCTTCTTTCACAAGAGTGCCCCCAAACACAAGTTTTTCTGGTTTGTCACACAGCAAGAGGTTTGTTTCAAGTAGGGAGGATTTTCCTACCAGCCATCCCCGCGCACTTGTCAGACAGGTGGCAGTAGATGATTTGCCACTCGGTAACATGATGGAACCATCATCTTCTTCAGAAGAGACGAAAGGCACTAAAAAGACTGGAGCCAGAGTGGAAGGTGTGAACGTGAAGTGTAAGAAATCCAGTCAGAGGAAAGTCAAAATGTTCTCTCAGGAAAAATGGCAGGTATATGGGGACGAGACGTTTAAGAAAATCTACCAAAAAATGAAAAGCAAACAAAAGGGAAACAAGGTCACCGACATTTCAGGTTTCCAGTCGGATACCAAGGAAGCTTCCAGTCATGAGAGAATTACTGGGCCTCGAAGTGGCAGATGTCCCTCACCTAAGAATCTAGTTTCATCCCCAGTGACTGTTTCTGCTAAATTAAGCACTGAAGAGTCAGAAGGAAGGTCCATTGGCGGTCGGATATCACAGAGTACTTCTTCTCAGGAGAGTTTAGGCAGCTTTTCAGAACTAATGGAGACATCTTTTTCAGTCAGTGATGGCGAACCCAGTGGGATGCCTAAAACATTTCCTGCATGTAGATGCAGAGAACTGTGTGCATTCGAAAAAGATCTGAATGGTAACAACCAGATATTGTTTTTAAATACCAGCTGTGAATCGAAACTCCAGCTTCATCAGGCCCCAGACCAAGAGACTAATATCCTGTCAGCTAACTTGCAGAAGTGTGGCAAGGAATCAGAGGATATGTGTGGACAAGGAGAATATATTAAACATAGGCCAGAACATGAAGATATTCTACCTGTCAAAGGAGAAGACCTTGGTGGGAAAGAACGTTTCCCACTTGCACAAGCGGCCTTACCTCTTCATCATGGCAACTGTGGCAAGCCTGTGCAGGAATCACAAAAGTTGCCTTCGGAGAGGAAAAAGCTAAAAGTGGATGAACGGAAGATCGAAGAAAATATGTTAAATATCAGCTGTGGCCCTAGCAGTCCAAAGAACAGAATTGTGAAATTGCTAGATCAATTCAAAATTATTAACGTAGTTGCCCCTGTTTCGATGAATCATTCGGCTAAAGTAAAAATGCCAAAATTCACAGCAGACATGAACTCATTAGGTAGCAGTGTGGAATGCAAAGAAATAGTCCAGTGTCCCACAATGAGCTTGAATAATAGGGATTATAGTGTTGATAATACAGCAAGCGTATCTGCATTTTCATTTCCTGAACAACTCAGAGCTGAAGTGACAAAGGAATATATCTGTAGTTCCTACTCTTTTCATAAACTGACAGAAAAGCCCAGTTCGATGATTATAGGAACAAGAACGTCATCTCTGAAAGGAGACGTAGTAACAGCATCTCCATCCATTCAGCCCCTGGTAACACCACATCTAAAGAAAAATGATTTTCTCCCCAAGTACATTCTCAAATATCCACAAGAAGGAAATAGAGATATGTCCCTGCTTCCTCCAGGAGAGTTGGACCAAAAGGCTTGCGTTTCACTGCCAATGACTTCCACCAGTACTATTAACCTTCCCTGTAATTACAAATCGCTGGGTACCAATTCCGCAGATCTCTGTGTGTGCCCTTTGCAACTGGAACTGAGTCATCCGACCAGAACAAAAGAGCTAAAATGGGATGCTCACCCAACACGGAAGTCTCTTGTAGCTTGTTCACCAGCAATCGTAGAAACAACCAGCATCACAACCAGGGTAGAAGGGAGACGCCACCAACACCAGAGTGCCTGGCAGAAGGAGAAGGTGAAAGAAGTCTTGAGAAGAGTAGAGGACAGGGACAATATTGGTGAGGCTCAGGAAGGCGATGGGGGCACAATGGTCTGCTCATCCTACGCGGCAGGAAAGAAAATCTGCTTCACAGGAGGTTTTTTCATTTCTTCAGACATGACGGGGAGAAATCCGGCCCTAAAGTTAATTCACTCAGGGAACAGTTCAGTAATATCGGTCTCCTCGCTGGTTGAAAGGGCAGCTTTGTGTGGAAATCATGACAACAAAATCAAGGAATGGGAACCAGATATTAACTTTTTCCCAGGGTTGCCCACTTCTTCGGTGGATAATTCCAGATGCCTTTGCCAATCCTCGGACATGCTTTATTGCCATGTCGTCTGCACCCCGCAGAAGGAAGTTCACACACTGTCCCAGCTAAGCATGATTTCACACATTGGGAATTCAAAGATCCCAAACTTGAGCATATCCTTCCCAACTCTAAATGCTGAACCTCGATTGACTTGGTGTTGCTTAACCCGAAATCTCCCTCTTCCTGTTGAGCAGAAAGAGAAGAAGGATTCGGCGTATTCTTCCTTGCATACTTCTAAGAATGAAAAGGTCAGCTCGAAATGTAGCCTGACGTTTTGCAAAACGAAACACACCAGGCAGGCTGCTAGTGAGGGCTCAGCAAGTGGAACTGCAAACACACCGGCTTTTTGCACTCAGAGCCAGCGAACAGAGAAGGTAATGTCATTCTCCTCTTCCTATCCCAATACAAGAATGTGAATTAGAATAAAACAAGTGGGGGACCTGTGAGGATGTGGTGGGTAGGTCTGATTTCTCCATTCCCTCTCTCTTTGTCTTGTTTTTCCTCTTTGTCTTCCTCTTCCAATGCCTGCAGGCCTCTCCTCTCCTTTCCTTTCCTCCCAACCATCCATCCATCCTTCCATCCACCTACCTATCTTTTACTGTTTCCCTTTCCCCTTTTTATCTTTTTTGCTCCTTCCCCTCCAGCTTTACCTTCCCTTCATCCTCCTTTTACCTTTTTAAGGTTGCCTTTCTCCCTGCCTCCACATGTGGACTAAGGCCACCAATGTAAATGGGAGTTTCCTAGCAACGCCTGCATAGTCACGAAGACTGCACGGCGTAATCTTGTGAGGTTTTGGTGGCATTCTTTTCTTAATGCAGCAGACACTGCTTCTTTTTTATTTTAGGGTTTTTAACCTCCCCTTCCAATGTACTTTTTTAACATAACTTTTTTCTGCAAACCTGGGTCTTCCCCCAGGTCTGAAGAAAAGTGCCCTCTATTTGTACATAGCCCTGTTGTGCAAATGTTTTGATCCATATGCTGAGGCTATTGCTCAGAATCAGATATCATGATAAGAGAATAAAGACTGAATAGTATGTTATTATGTTATTTTATTACTAATATATGGACAGAACAAAGTTTGAGTCCAGTGGCACCTTTAAGACCAACAAAGTTTTAAAGTCTTAAATGTGCCACTGGACTCAAACTTTGTTCTGCTGCTTGAGACCAACATGGCTACCCACTTTTAATATATGGGACAGTTTTTGACAGTCATACCCTTGGTATTTGCAGGGGGTTTGGAGTGGTAGAGAATAGAACCCTAAAACTTTGGGGGAAATTGACTACTGTGATGGAATACCCCTGCATATTTACCATGTGGCTGTTGAACAGTCTGCCCCCCAAAGCTAGAATTTCCTCCAGGGGAACCGATCTCTTGCTTTGAGTACCCCCATCATCTGTAGCTCCAGGCCCCACCTGGAGGTTGGCAACCCTACGGTCAGTCCAGCTAATAGTCAGTTTCAATAACCATATCTATCTTTCCTCTTCTATTTGATCAAATTCTGTGACAATGTGTGTGTGTGTGGGGGGGGGGAAGATGGGCAGAAGCCTTGTGAGGTTTTTTTCTGATGGGGAAGTATCATATTCCACGTGATTTTAATTTCATGTCTCTTCCCTCATACCGGTTTAGGAATTTATGTTGAAATTGACCGTTGCAGGATTATTGACAGTCACTGATGCTCATCTGTTGCCGCGGACCATCTGTTTATGATAATTGTTCTCAGCCAATGAAAGATTTATCTGTTTATGGGCCTAACATTTGGGAGGCTGGCGAGTGCTAGACAGGCCTTTCCAAGAACAGTGTCAAGTCACCAACATGGCACTCTGTTTCAGGAAGAAGCGGATGGCCTTAATAGTCTTTTGCGCATCTGGTTTTTAGCAGGAAGGGGAGGGTTGACATGCCCTTTACCAGTAACAGTTAGGATAGATCAACGCTCAGAGCCTCGCGGAGACTAGGACAGCAGAAGGGAACGAAGAACAGTGTTTCAGGTTTCCCTAAGAAACATCCTGTGAGCAAAGACTGAAATCTTTATAGATACATAGCCAACCTGCAGTGCGGGTGCCAGATAGGTTTACCAGCTCTGGGCTGAGAAATACCTGGAGATCTTGGGGGTGGAGCCTGAGGAAGGCAGGGTTTGGAGAGGGGAGGGACTTCAGTGGGGTATAATGCCATAAAGTCCACCTTCCAAAGCTGCTGTTCATTCTCTCTCTCTCTCTCAGGCCCCCCCCCCCACTGTGTGTGTGCTTTGTGTGATTGCCTGAAAGTCATGGTTGACTTCTGGCAACCCCTACTGGGGGCCTGGACGTCTTTCAGAGAGGTGGCTTGATTGGCCTGCCTCTGTGTCCTGCCTCTGGCATTCCTTGGAGGTCGGCCTTCCAAGTACTTGCCAGAGTCGGCCCTGCTTAGCTTCCGAGATCTGATGAGATTGGGCTTGCCTCGGCTATCCAGGTCAGGGCAAGCGGCCATTTTCTTCAAGGGATCTGATCTCTGTTGCTGGGAGCTCCAAGCCACCACCTGGAGACTGGCAACCCCAGTGCCAGAAGTGGTGAAAAGGTAGGGTTCCCACCCTCCAGTTGGTGGCTGAGATCTTGCTTTGGGTACTCCCACCATCTGAGGCTGGAAGGGAGGTGACCTGAGAAAGGGCCTTCTTGGTTGAAACTCCTTCCCCAGGGAGATTAGTCTTCCTCCCTCTATCATTGTCTTCTGTCAGCAGGTGAAGACTTTGTTAAATAGTGGGGTTTAACATGGCAGAGGCGGAGTGATTTCAACAAGCAGCAGTTTATTGCATCTCAACAGGAATGCTTTACACGGGGCAACTGCCCTAACTATATACACCTAAGCCACTCCCAGCCCCCATGCAATTGGTGAGTTCAAATGGCCTCCGGGCTCCAGATTGGTTGACTGCCCCCAGGAGCCAATCTGCAGGCAGCCTCCAGGATCCTGCCTGCCTTTGTTCTGGGCTTCAAGCTCCAACTAGGTGGCCTGCCAGACAAGTCCAGACATGCCTCCTTATGCGGGCTACTGCACCAGCAGCAGTTAAGCCTGGGTGGAAGGTTGCACGTGTCCAGACAGAACAAACTTTTCTGTGTTTTTCAGGTGTTCCCTCACTGATTCTCACTGACCCTCCTTTCCCCACACGTGTCTGTGTTTGATTTGTTTTTAACTTTTGTGTATATGTGTGTTTTAAACTTGTTTTAATATTTTTCACCACACTGGGGACCCTGAGCTGGGAGGAAAGGTAACTTTAAAATGTTTTCAATAAAATAAATATAATTATTTGGTTAAAAAAACAACACCAGCCTGAAATAGAAAATCAAGTTGATAGCGAGGCACTCAATGGTGGTGTGGAATTGCTGTCTCCCTTTAGTCAACTTCAGGACACTGTACTGCGTATTACATCAGATTGCCTGACTAGATCATTATTTTATACCTCTTTGCTGAATAATTTCCAGTATATTTCCTAATTTCCTTATCTGGTCATTTCTTTTTTTTTTGGGGGGGGGTGCTGTTCACAGGCATACTTTTCAACGGCCGGAGGTTATAAACTCTTGAAAAGCATTCCAGAGCAAGAAAAGACAAATGAAACTCTTTGCAAAAGAAGAGAACTGGCAACCATAAGTAAAGCCAAGAGAAGCCGGAAACGGAAAAAAGTGAAAATCAACCCCAAGCGGTAAGAAATGTGGTGCGCTTGCCTTAATCTAATAGAAAGAATATCGCCCCTCTCCGGATACATATAACCTTCAGCAAGTAAACAATATGACTTAATGCAAATCATGCACAATCTGTTGCTGCAGCGAAAATTCACATTGTCATTTTAAAGGTTGGGCTCCATTTATTTATCATTACCCTTATATCCCGCCCTCCCCGCAGACGGGCTCAGGGCGGCTTACAAATAAGGGCAGCATCTGCCAGTAAAACAATAAAATCACGCATAAAAACAACCATTATCAACAAGAATAAAGTGCTCAAAGATGTTATCAATTTAGTCAAATCAAGATGGTGTCAGCAAGCTGCCAATGTGTGTCCCTGGACTCTGTGTATGCGCTGATGTTTCATTATGCTCTGTGTGTATTCTTATGTATCCTTGTCTTTGGGTATGCGCTTGTTTGCTTTCACTTTCCCATGTATGCCTGTTTGTACACTTAATTGCCTAGTAGCAGGAACGTCCGTATCTCTCAAGGCCGCAGGTGGTTGCTGGAGTATAGTAGTTTGGGTGATCTCATGGCGTTATCCATGAGAAGCAGTATGTTATGAGTAAGTAGGAGCGTTGCTTCCCAGGCTCAATGGCGCGCGTGGGAAGTCCCGCAATTGGGCCTCAGCGTTTTGAATTTCCTATAATCTATTGGGATCCATGATTGTTCCTCATTCTGAACAGTGATCCTGTTATGCACCTATTGCTTCAAATAAAGAAACCTCTCTTCTGCAAGTGTGTTCTTCGTTGATGCGATGGGAGTCTGACAGATGGTGACCTGTAACTATACCTAAAAACCTGGATCAACGGCATCGACTCATCTCAGTACTGCTGCGAGATCTATATACTGGGCCATCCTGTTACCCCGTTGTTACCATGGAGTAGTTGGTGGTGGTGGTAGTGGCGGCTCCTAATTAAAAGCCTGGTGAAAGAGCTCCGTCTTGCAGGCCCTGTGGAACTGTGAAAGGTCCCGCAGGGCCCTGATCTCCTCCGGGAGCTCATTCCACCAGGTAGGAGCCGCCACTGAAAAGGCCTTGGCCTTGGTTGCCACAAGCCTGGCCTCCCTGGGGCCTGGGATCACTAGATGATGTTGGGCCCCTGACCGTAGTGCTCTCTGGGGTATGTATGGGGAAAGGCGGTCCCTGAGGTACTTCAGACCCTGGCCATATAGGGCTTTAAAGGTAAGCACCAGCACTTCTAGGGAGGCCCATCTAGGGAGGCCCATCAAAAGCCTGGCTGCAGCATTCTGCACTAGCTGCAGCTTCCGGACCTGTGACAAAGGCAGCCCCATGTAGAGAGCGTTACAGTACTCTAATATCGAGGTGACCGTCACATGGATCACTGTAGCCAGGTTGTCGTGGTCGAGGAAGGGGACCAACTGCCGAATCAGCCGAAGATGATAAAAAGCTGAGCTGACAGCGGCTGCTACCTGGGCCTCCATAGTTAAGGAGGAATCCAGGTGCACTCCCAAACTCCTAACCTCTGGCGCTGGCACCAAAGGTGCCCCATCGAAGGCCGGGAGAGGAAGCCCCATCCCCAAACCACCCCGACCCAGGCACAGGAACTCCGTCTTCGCCGGATTTAGTTTCAGCCGGCTCAGTCTAAGCCAACCAGCCACAGCTTGTAACGCCTGGTTAAGATCTTCTGGGCTGGAGTCCGACCGGCCACCCAACATCAGATAGAGCTGGGTGTCATCTGCATATTGATGACACCCTAGCCCATACCTCCGGGCAATCTGGGCAAGGGGATGCATATAGATGTTAAACAGCATCAGGGAAAGCACAGCCCCCTGGGGCACACAGCATTCGAGCAGATGCCTTCGAGACTGCTGTTCCCCTATCGTCACCCTTTGTCCCCAACCTTGGAGAAAAGAGGCAAACCATTGAAGGGCAAGCCCCTGTATCCCCGCGTCGGTGAGACGGTGGGTCAGCAGCTGATGGTCGACCATATCAAAGGCGGCCGACAGATCTAGCAACAGCAGTACCGCCAAAGCGCCTCGAATAGGGCAAATTGGAAACTGGCCGATAGTTGGCCAATTCCATGATAAATAAAGAGCAGATCCTTACTTACTCTCCTTTTCAAAGCTTCTATGACAGATGATCTTGAGCAATGACCATCCTGGCAACTGGCGGGGGTGGGTGGATGGGGACTTACTAGGAGTGGGAGGGAGGCTGGTGATGTGCCGACACTGGAAGTGATGACTTTGCATTGGGATGACACAGCGATGCTCTGCTATTTGGACAAAAACTCTATGGTAAAAATGGCTTCTACTGTAGAGATTTTGCTCAAATACCAGAGCATCGCTAGGACGTCACCAACGTGATGATGTCACTTCCAGTACAAGCCGGAAGTGACTTCGTCATGTCACCAGCAATGTAGCATGGGCCTCCATCCTTCTCCTGGTAAGTCCCCCTCCCACAGGCCAGCTATTTCCCCACCTCCAGTAGGGGGTGGCAACCAATGTTCCCTCTAAGCTGTGGGTTCTTGTGAGCAAAAATTCTACTTTGTGAACTACTGGCATTAAAGCTGGGAGCGAGCGACTGGGCTGCTGCATGAATTAGTTTGCTCTGGAGCCATCTTTCATGAGCGAAGACAAAGATGTGTGAGCCGGAGGCTAAAAAACTGTGAGCCAGCTCACACTGACTCAGCTTAGAGGGAACACTGGTGACAACCCTACCCAAAACTCTAAGGTTAATCCGTAGAGGTTTGGGGCAAGTTCTAGAGAACTGCCACAGTGTGATGATATCGCTTTTGGTTTTGTGCTGGAAATGATGTTGCAGGTTGACACAACACCAGTGAGCCCCCCCCTCCATTTTCCCCACACTGGTGGGGGAACAGCAGGCCAATACTTCACTGCCCCCCTCAGTCCAAAGGACAGGACCCCTCTGTTAATGAATATGTACAGCGCTTTATGCCTTGCCACTTTTCAAAAGAGTCCAAAAATAGAAGAATGCATGTTTTTGCCTGGAGAAAGGGGTTCCATTTAGCATTTTACTGACTTGCTAGTTTTCTATACGCAAGGTGGGGGGTTTTTTTCCCATTGCAGAGCATTTAAATATGTGACTCATGGCTTTAGATGGTAACTAGGTGTTATGAATATAACACTGCTATGATGGCCATTCATATCTTGTTTCAGCCTTGTTTTGCTGTTTTTAATGAGTTCAGAGTCTCAGGCTACAGCCAGAGAAAAACAAAGAAGAAAAAGAAAAAAGGGGCTGCTCAGCAAAGAACAAGATAAAGGGAACTCCTGTGAGGGAGAGTGAAATCATCATAGATGCATGAAAGTAGGGCCATTTTGTGAAAGCACCCCTCCCCCAGCCATCTTTCCCATTAGATGAATTTTACAGGAGTCATTATGGAATCGTTTCTTTCTGGATCCTTAAGCTTTGGCCCTGTGTGTCATTCTGTAGAGGGGCATCACGACATGTGTGTCATGAAAGTGACCATAGAACATTTAAAATAAATAAAATGAACCTGTATACTGCCAACGAGTAAACAAACTCAACGACCAACAGCCTGGCAGGAACCTGGATGATCGTGGTAGGCAACCTTCCAATGTTGAGAGAATGCCGCCATCTTGTATTAATATCTATGTTCTTAGCACTGATGATCTTATGCTGTGATTTTAATTGTATTTTGTGTTTTAACATATATATATATGTGTGTGTGTGTGTGTGTGTGTGTGTGTGTGTGTGTGTATATTCTGTAAGCCACCCTGAGCCTGCCACGGCGGGGAGGGTGGGATACAAATTTAACAAATAAATAAATATATTTTATCCTGTAGATATAAAGGAAGTTATGGACATAGACACCTACTGCTGAAAACCAGCAGGCTGAGCAAACAACACTGGCCGGTGAACAGGGCTCTGGAGACTCCAAAAAAGCATCCCCGTCCTCACATCCCTGATGGCCCTGAGCATTGTGGGAAATGCCTGTGTCTTCTCGCAGCCTCACAAGGTAAGGCTGATGTTCTAGCACATAAACTGATAGCTCATCACTACACTGGTTGGATGGACCATTCTGGTTGGACGGACAAGGATGACCAATTCTGAGAGCCAGGGCAGACATCCCTTATTTCTTGATGGGCTTTTTTGCTTCCTTGAAGGTCTTGGGCGGGGGGGATCAAGGTAGCATCATCCAGACCCTTTGGCTGTGTGTCTCAATGTGCCTACTGCTAAGGCTGTTTCAGCCATTGCACAGTTGCAGACATGGGGTTGGATCCATTGCAAAATTTCCGCTTGTGCTAGAGCTCTTGTGCAAGCAGAAAGGCAAGGAACCCCCACCCAAGGTAGCCCCTTATTGGATCTCCATTTGCATTTCTGCTCGCACAAGATTTTGTACAACCATTTTTTGGGCACTATAATATATAGAGAGGGAAACTCTAGGCATAATCCAAGCTCTTGGGCAAGCAGAACTGCGCCAAGTCTATTTGTCTACACTTGCACGTTGCTGGATCCAAGCCATGGAGGTTACACTTGTCCGCAGGTCCCATTAAACTTTACAGGTTCATAATGCATGAGCTAGGGATGCCAGCCTCCAGGTGGGTCCTGCGGATCTCCCAAAATTACAGCTCATCTCCAGACTACAGAACTCAGTTCCCCTGGAGAAAATGGATGCTTTGGAGCAGCGGTGGCCCAACTGCAGCTTGGGAGCTGCATGTGGCTCTTTCACACATATTGCGCGGTTCCCAGAAGGGCAGCTGGGGAAGCAAAGTGGAGATGGGAGTAAGCAGTGAAGTGGCTAAATTTGCGTATGATACAAAGTTGTTCAGGGTGGTGAAAACCAGTGAGGATTGTGAGGCACTCCAAAGGGATCTGTCAAGGATAGGCGAGTAGGCGTCAACATGGCAAATGGGATTCAATGTGGCCAAGTGCAAGGTGATGCACATTGGAGCCAAAAATCCTAAATATAAATACACATTGATGGGGTCTGAACTGGCAGAGACTGATAGAGAGAGAGATCTTGGAGTTGTAGTGGATAACTCACTGAAAATGTCGAGACAGTGTGTGACTGCAATAAAGAAGGCCAATGCTATGCTGGGGATTATTAGGAAGGGTATTGAAAACAGATCAGCCAATATCATAATGCCCCTATATAAATCAATGGTGAGACCTCATTTGGAATACTGTGTGCAGTTCTGGTCACCACACCTTAAAAAGGATATTATAGCTTTGGAAAAAGTGCAGAAAAGGGCAACTCGAATGATAAAAGGGTTGGAACACTTTCCCGGTGTAATGTATTCAGCCTGACATGCCCGGACTTGCCCGGGCTGGCCAGGCACAATTCCTATGTTAGCTTCAGTCGAAAGACAAAGGATCCGGAGGATCCAAGCCGGCCCTATCAAAAGGGCTAGCTTCCCAGCCGGGAGACCAATGGTCGCCCGGTTACTGTAAATAGCCTATCGGGAGTAGGGGGTGTGTTTAGGTATGCTTGGTGGCGGGTTTTCTGAACATATATAAACCGGCCTGCGAGCCGGTCAGTTGTCTTTGTCCTGAACTAAATAAAGGTATGCTTAGCTGAAATCACTCTCCGTCTGCATACTTTTCACTGGCGATGAAGGTGGGATCCACGACCCCATGAACAAAGACCCGGACGCCAACACGAGCACCGCACCGAGCCCCGACGCCGAGACCTCCGGGAACCGCGCCGCTTCGCGCCCCGGCTCTCCGGCAACGGCTCATCGCTCCGCTCCCGGCTCCTCTTCGCTCCCTGCTGACCCCGAGAGCAGCAGCGCCCCTCTCAACGCTCCAGACGCCGTCGCCATTCCAGGGGCCACCCAAACAATGGCGACCGCCACCGAGAGCCTTCCCGCTTTCGATCTGTCCCAGCCCTCGCTGTGGGACACCTGGCTGGACACGCTCGAGAGCCACTTCACCATCCACAAGGTGGTGGATGACGAGATAAAAAAGGCCTACCTCTGGCGCCACTGTGGAATCCAGACCCATCGGC